CCCCAAAACCCCAAAACCCCAAAACCCCAAAACCCCAAAACCCCAGACAAGAGAAATAAATTGACAATAGCGAATACTTTAATTTTAAGCTAAGCCCATAAAGTTCATTTACAGTGGTAGTTGTCTACAAATCATCAAGATCATAATCAGAAGAGTCATCACTATCCAGATCGTACATGTCCATATCTTCAAGGGTTTCTTGGAATATTGCTGAGTTTGCTACAGTTTTGGTCTTGAGAGCTTTGCAGTAATCACATTTCTCCCTTTCACATTTAAGGAGAGAGTGTTGCCATTGTGAATCAACAGTTTCATTCTTTATACTTTTCATCATTCTACAGTTACGATATTTTACAAGATGTTCTAGCAAAAATACCAATTCTTGTAATAATGTAAAGGTATTAAAATGGTACAAACTAGCTAAGCTCTATACTCCTTGATGCCCTTTTGTGCATCTGAAGCGGTGGTGTTAGAAATAATTTTGATGATTATAGAAAATTAAATTCAAACCATTGGTCTCATTAATGCTGTTGAAACTTGATAATTTCTCAGTAAAAGCTTGGGGATACTTTGTACGATTAGTGGATTTGGTCTTAAAACACTTAGCACTTACTCTAAATGAAGAAATCTTAACGAATATGCATCATTGAATGAACTATAAGGAGAAGATGACTCATCTTTGATCATCTGAAGGCTGGTAGGGAAGTGAATTGTAGAAGAGTCCTTATCTACTTTATACCCATTCAAGTATTTGTCCTTCTTATCAGATTCCTCAAAGTTTTCAACATTTTGTTCACATCTAGCTCTTATTACTTCTAAGCATTCTAGAAGATCCTTTGTTTCCTTATTTTTAGTAAAGAAGTCAAGAGCTATGGTTGGCTGGATTTTGTAGGTATTATTAGTTTCAGCTTTGCTGTGAAACTTTGAAGCATGTAGATTCTCTTCTCCTTTTATCTCTTCTTCGGAGTTAGAAAAGTCATCTCTATAGATTAGTTAAACCCATTATTATTTCAAATTATTTACCAAGTTACTTTTCTCTTGGGAGGAATTTTCATAATATTCTCGGTTTCACATTTGTCCAGCATATCTTGCTCTAGCTCTATTGTACCGACTGCTTTGGATGAAATTAATGCCTTTTTCTTTCTAAAAGAGATTGCACTGTTAATGACATCAGACATCTTAGCACAAATCTCCTTCTCTTTAGGAGTTAGATCATCATAAATTCCTTTAAAGATGTTCTGCTTAGTTGACGGTCTTGAACTTTGGAATTTATTTTCTAAGATCTATCATTTTCTTGGGGTCACTCTTATTTTCTTCTATTAGGCCTTTTGGATCACCAAGAGTTGGTTTTGAGCTTTTACACTTTTTATGAGTACTTTTAGAGAGAAATTTCATGTAGCTATTTACAGAATTTTATTTCAAGAGTCGTCTTCAATCATTCTGCGAGGTAGTAATTTAGGCGCCTTTGCGTCCTTTTTACAGCTGGATCTCAGATGTTATCACAGTATAGCTGAGCAACTCAGACGAATACTTTTCAAGGATACTTTTCTAGTAACTTTTTAAGAAATTTCTTGGTGTGACTAATTAATTCTTCTTCAATTTGGAGGTAGAAAGTTCCCAGAGGGAGTAATGAATTATTTATCATTTTGATATTCGCTTCGTTTACTGAAACATCTAGAATGCTTAGAAGTGCCTGCCTCAAAATATCTCTGGTTACAGGCTCAATTTTGTATTTGTTCTGAATTCTTAACTCAAATCCCTTTCTAGCAATCTCTATATTGTATTCTTCACACAACTGGAGTAAATTCTCTTGATAGGCTTCTAATATGGATAGGATTTTGGATTTGAAGCTTGAAAATAACGTTTTCATCACATTTTTGCCCCAACTCCTAGACATAAGTCTCATCAGAGAGAACTTTATGACAGGAGCTTCTTTCTCTTCTTCATAAAGATTGCTTTCTTCTCCAGGGGAAGATAATTTGTTAATAATTTCAGGGATGAAATCCAGCTCGGTTTCGAATACTTCTATTAAGGATACATAGGACTGCCATCTAGCATTGTACTCGTCAAGGAATGTTTCTGAATTACATTTAGAGGCAATAGATTCAGCTACCATCCTACAGTGGCATGATCAAAATTTATCGAACAGATATAGATATGCTAGGACAGGAGTTTTGGGGACCTCATGACATGTCTTCTCTGTATTGGTGTAAGTTCTGAACTGTTTAAAAATATCTACTTCTCCGTTCTCTTTCAACTCATCTGTTGACCAAATTGGGGCCTCTGTATCAATATATTTATGGTATTTATCCGAAGGAATATTCTTTGAGTGCTGGAATACAAGCTCTTGAAAGTTAGTAAATGCTATATTGCTGTTCTTTGGCGTTTTCTTCATGGTTATATCAACTTTTCTCTTCCTTTTTATTTCAGTGAACACTATAGTCGCAAGTTTTATCCTAGACTCATCTTGAAGCTCGGGGAATAGTTCAGGGATAACATGATACATTCTGTGTTTAATCATGCATCTAGTTTTAAGCTGATTCTTTAAGAAAGCAAACCAATTTTCATTTTTTAAGGTCTCCTTTGGTTTCTCTTTGACTATGAATAAGTTCCTAGTGAGATTATCAGTGGGCAAGAGAAGTCTGTTAGCTTCTCTTTCTGCTAGGATTACCATTGCATCTCTAACTTTATCATATAAAGTCTTGCTGCAAACTCTGAGTGTATGCATTTGGTAAAAGTCAAGATATTTGCAGATTTCATAGTATACATTGAGGTTGAGTTTATCCATTTTATTATTTTTATTAATTTAGCTTAATAGCCCACCTGGGGTTTTGGGGTTTTGGGGTTTTGGGGTTTTGGGGTTTTGGGGTTTTGGGGTTTTGGGG